ACTCCTATGAAAAATACTGACTAGAAGGAGATTCATCTGTTGGGGTAGATGCCCCCTAGGGTGCCCTTAAGTCTGTTGTAACTGCAGAAGGACTCTCTAAATGAAGTTCTAGTTACTTTCAAAACCTACCAATGGGAGACAGAGAGAGACTGTGCCTTTGAATGTGTGTTAAACAGGAACAGGTGACACCTAACAGTAACATACACAATGCTGACCAAATGCCTCTGCCATCTCACATGCAGTAACCTGCACACCACTGAGCAGGGCCACAATGCCCCAAGAGACAATGCATTAGTTTCTCTGTTACCTCAAATTAGAAACTGAGCTTCAACCAAGACGCGGGGGGGGGGTAGCAGTTGGGAAGCAGAGGCAGGTGAATCTCTGTGAGTTCAAGGGTAGCCTGATCTACATAGTGAGTTCCAGGCCATCTGGGGCTATAGATAGGGAGACCCTGTCTCAAAAAGACCAAACAAACAAACAAAAGACTGAGCTTCAAAATAAAAAGAAAGAAACCAACCTTCACAGGAATTGGGCTTGTCCTTCTGTAACTTTTTGTTACCAAGATAACTGGTAAAGAACATTTTCTCTTGGACTTTTTCTTCTGGACAAGAAGTCATATCACTGTCTTCTAATCTGGCCTCACTAGATCTTAGAGTTGGGAAAGTCACCCCAACATCCTGGGTATGTTTCTTGGTACCAGTCACAATCTCAAAGTTACCTATGGGAAAGATCACAGACACATCTTGGGGGTGGGGAAGCAGACATGGAAGAGATGGAAAGATGCAGAAAGAGGTTAAGGAAGAAGGGAATACGAGGAGAAAGTAAGAGGGCTTTAGTCTCTAAGTGAGCTTAGGGGAGAGAGAGAGAGAGAGAGAGAGAGAGAGAGAGAGAGAGAGAGAGAGACTGAAACCACCTGGCTGAATGAACTCAAAGGGTTCAGTTCTGGTCCCAGGGGAAAGACAGCAAGTAAACCCAGACCTGCTGGTAAGACATCAATAAGGAAGAGTTGGTAGAGGTGTGGCCAAGGCTCGGGAGGAAAAAGGAAAAGGAGATTTATTCATTTTGTTGCATAAAATAAAAGTCCAGGCAAAAACTGAAAATCCTCCTCCCACCCCTACTCTCCAGTCACATCATTCTGTCCACAACCCACGATTCCAGAGAATTTTACAGTTCTCATCTCTCTTTTTTATTTCATGTGCTATTATGTGCTGTTCTGAACTTTGATTTGGAGATTTTTCAATATTAGTAGAGAACTTCATTCTACATGGAACTTCTTCATATGAAAATACAATAGTTCATTTTATCATTGTTATTAATGGCCATCCAAGTTGGCTTTAATTAATACTTTGCACAGTTGCCAATTTTTTTGTTTTGTTTTTGAAACAGGGTCTCCCTGTAGCCCTAGCTGGCCTGGAACTTGCTATGTACACCAGACTGGTCTCAATCTCACAGAGATCTCACAGGTCAGCCTCTGCCTCCCAAATGCTGGGATTCAAGGCCTGTGTCACCATGCCAGGCTATATTTGCTATTCTATGCATATCCAAGCATATCTACTGGCCAAATTCCAAAAGCAAAAGTGCTGGGTCAAAGTACATTTGCTTCTCACAGGAGCTATGTCACTTATACCCCCACTATGTGAATGCTCATTTCCCTAAACTCTTGCTTATAAACTTGGATTTTTGCAATTTGTAGGTGGAAAAACAGCATCTGGATATGCGAGTACTTCTGATTTTTATTTCCTTTATCATGAGATTGAATATTTTTTATGTTTCAAAGATATTTTTATTTCAATGAAAAAGTTTTTTTTTTTTTTTTTTAAGTGTCTGCATGCATTGCCTGCATGAGGTAAGTGTACCCATGTCGTGCAATGCCCGCGGAGGTCAGAGGCTGTCAGATCCCCTGGGACTGGAGTTACAGACAGTTGTTAGCTGCCGTGTGGGTGCTGGGATTCAAACCCAGGCCTTCTGGAAGAGCAACCAGTGTTCTTAACTGCTGAGCCATCTCTCCAACCCCTCAATGAAAAAGTTTAAATCCAAAGGATTTTACCTGTTTGTATGCTCTTGTTTAAAATGTGCACATTTTGCTCATTACACAGAGTAGAGTTCAAGCTCAAGAAACTACTGGTGGAGGAAACAGAGTCTGAAGAAACCAAATGATGTGCTGCCTGGAAAAACAGGAGAGCCTGTCAGAGTGACCTGTAGCCAGAGACATTGCTACCCACAGGACAAGGCAGCCTGCAAGCCCCCAGAGTCCTCTCTAACTACATAGTTGAGATGCAGTTGAAGGAAACTGTGGACAATGCTGTGGTAGCGTATTTGTGATGGAGGAATACTGCTGTAGGATAGAGCCCAAAGCTGCTGCAAGACCCTAAGGAAAAGAAGGGGCTTGGAATTTCCCCAGGTGGTAGCCAAACCTTAGTCTGACACATCTCCAGAATGAGATTCTCACTTGTCACCTGTAGGTAATTTTGGAAAAAGAAGAGACAGATAAAATAGCTAATTGAAGTGATGAGCTATAGACACCATCCCTCAATTAGAACAGACTTGGGCACTTTTTATTCAAAGACAGACACCAAAGAGCTGCAGGGCACCTTGAGAAATGCCCAATGACTGAAGTACCACAAAACACATGAAAGCCCAAAGCTGTTTCTAAATATATTCAGAGCAAGCAGACCACTGAAGTATGAGTTCAGGGATGGAAGCTGACATTGGCGGATAAGAAAAAGTTCATCAAAATATAGCTGAATATGGCATAAAAAGTGCACATATCTAAGCCAGAAGAGGACATCAGGAGTCTTCCTCCATCATTCTCAATCTATTCCTTTGAGGCAGAGCCTCTCCCTAAACCTAGGGCTCCTATTTCCTCAGCTAGGCTGGAAGCCAGGAAGTCCCAGGAACCTGTCCTCCTCAGAGCTGGTATTGCAGGTGTGTGAGGGACATCCAGCTTGTTGAAGTGGTACTGGGATCCAAACTTTGATAGGCATGACTGCATAGCAAGCGTTTTTGAGCACTGAATGATCTCTCTAGCCCAAAACAGTGTTTCTTAAACCTGATCATCATAAGAATGTCCCAAAGGGAAGGAAGATAACCCAGAACTGCAATCTCTCAGAGAGAGGTCTGGTCATTTGCATTTTAAATAAATACCAATTGACTTTTTTTTTATATATATTTTTTTATTGACTCAGAAAAGTGTTTTGTATATTTAAAAAAGATTTTTTGGGTTGAACATTATTTTTTCTTTATACAGCTTTTGTTGTTGTTGTTATTGTTGTTGTTGTTAAGACAGCGTCTCCCTGTAGCCCCGACTGGTCTGGAACTTTCTATATAGAGTAGGCAAGCTTTGATCTTACAGAGATCTGCCTGCCTCTGCCTCCTGAGTGCTGGGATTAAAGGTGTGTTCTACCACAACTGGCTACCTACATCTTTTTTTTAAAAA